TCAAGTACGTTGGAGTCTTGTTTACTGGAAATGGAAGAAAAGGAGGAATAGATCCGTTGGCGGATTAGAGTCGCCGGCCAGGTTCCGTATGATCTAGTCTGAACCGTTGCGACCGAGAGAGAAATGAGTATGAATTCTAAGCCGTACGTGTCAATTGCCGGTCATGGATCATCATGCAAATGCTCGCCTACGACCTACAGTCATTCACTGGCCATGTTGGAATAGCGTCAACCTCGGGTGCAAGCAGCTGAAATGGGATTTGTAAGACGAATCGCCGGGCTCACGTACCTGCACATTTTCCACAGTAACCTAGAGAGCTTTGATGTACTTAGGTTGCATGCCCAGAGGTAGAAATCATAGCTGCATTGTTTTGGCCACGTCTCCAGAATGCTTCCAGAAAGGATGGAGAAACAGCTACGTTTTGCCTCAGCCCGACTAGCTAGTGATTTCCGGTGTGGGCCAGCAATGTCCTGGTGCAAGAAGAAACGCATTGAAGAAATCTGCTCGAGACTCTAGTTATCTTCTGACTACGCCTCCAACGCTAGTTCTGAATCAAGGACACTAAAAGCTCTGTCACTCGGAACGATAAGTGGCTATCGAAACTGACTGAATGACTGACTGGCAGTTTGCATGACTGTTCAGCAGATTTAGCACGCTCATTAGTCATCGCATCGTTTACCAGCTTACGCTGTGTTGTGTATATGAATAATACAACGATCATATCATAAAAAGTGTTATTTTTTACACGAATAAGCAACATATCAAAACGTTAATTTAATTCATATTGTACCTAAACATATTTTGCATGTACTCTTGTATTAAATAAAGGCAAAATTCTACAAAATTCATACGCAAATATTCGTTAGGCCTTCAAAAGATTGATTTTAAGATGACTCATCGATACAACGTGGCATGACATTTATGCAATGCAACTGTCATTTTTAACTCATGAGATATCCTCGTACAAGCTCGTCTCTGTGTAGCCATTTTGTGACTTCAACAGTAAGGGTTCATTCCCCTGTCTAGCAGGAGAAGTTGCTACGCGAAAGTCTTAGCGGTGGTTCAGAGGCATACCAGGAATCACAAGGCGAAATAGCCTAATAGAGCACGCTCATTATTATGTATTAATGTATATATCGCGGACTGTAGAGACTGTGCTTTTCTCTCTGCGAAGACAGTCACGTATAATACATATATAAGGGACCGAGAGAGGAACGCAAGGAACAGATTATTGAACGATAGACGAAGATCTCTATCATGCTAGCACCTATTACTCCAGAAAAAGTTTTCAAATTTTAGTCAGAAGGTCATTTATTAAAATATGCTTGCCTTAGAATGTAGTTATTTCCCATTTACTGCCTCCCACTGCTCTAGTCCTAAATCAAACAGTCACTCCAAACCAACCATTTTTAAAATCTGTGCTATGTTTGCCATTGCTCGATATCAACGAACTCGCCACAGTTAGAGTTCATGTCGATGTAACGAAGACTGAATAATCACACATGGCAGAGGTGGTTCGGGCCAGTGTGATGTTCTAAGGAGAGCACTCATGCATCCTCGAGTGGTTGGATAATATTTTTTCTACGGTGCATTAATATAGCTAATTATTTCTTCTAAACAAATTTATTCCAGGAAAGGAAGCCTTACATTTTGAACCCACACGGAAACAGTACTGAAAGAGCTTCTGTTAGTTTATTGTGCGGCTTAGATCAGTTGCTATTCGTCTTTCCGTCACCTGCTGTCATCTTCGTTTCAGTGTCGGTATATATCACCGTCCAGAATGGTAATCCGCTCATGCCGATTTTGACCATGGCTCAGTTCAAGCCGTGATATCGCCGTGTTACAGCGTTAATACCAAACCTGCCAGTACACCTAACGATGCTCCCTGCAGTCCCTTTAAGTTTATGCCATGGCTT